GAAGGTGTTTTTTAATTATTATTTTTTTGTTTTGGGCTTGTTTTTAGATCTTTTTTTTTTGCTATCGTTTGTTTGCTTTTGTTTGTTTGCTGTTTTTTTTCTACTTTTTTTCTATTTTTGCTTTTTGTTGCAAGTGTTAACTACGCTCCCAACTGCTTAGTGTCATAAGCTGTTAGATCTTACCTTCCCTAAGATCAAGGATGTGGCTGAAAGACAGCAGTAAAAAGGGGCCAATGAGTAGCAGTAGAAAGGCTGCAGAAACAATTAGGGGTCCAGAGGATGGGGCAAAGGGGATCAGGGCGGGGGCAGAAAGTGGAGACGAAGGCAGACAACAGAACATGGATAGATGTGGAAAGGAGGTGAAAGGAGACAAATTTAGAATTTTTTCCCCCGTCGCTGCCAGGTATCGAAACCGGGACATGTTGAATAAGAGGCGAACAGAGAGACCCCAGACCACGAGACCACACGATCGATGGTAGTAGTTGTGCTACCGAGAGACAGAGAAAGAGAGAGACAAACACATACACACACACACACACACACACACACACATACACACACACACATACACACACAGAGAAAGAGAGAGAGAGAGAGACAAAGACAGACAGACAGCCAGGCACAGAGAGAGGGGGGTGGGCAGAGAGAGAGAGAGAGAGAGGGGCAGAGAGAGAGAGAGGAGAGAGAGAGAGAGAGAGAGAGAGAGAGAGAGAGAGAGAGAGAGAATGAGGAAGAAGGGTGGACTGAGAGAGAAAGATAGATAGAGAAAGACAAAGAGACAGCAGCGGAGAATAGGTAGGAGAGACGGAGAGTTCACACGTAATAATAAATGGAATACTTGGATAAAGGTTCCAGGTTCCATAAATCTTTGCAAAGCATTCTCTCAAAAGCCATATCCCCAGTCATTTCCCTTTATCTCCAGCACTTGCTCCACGAGTCTCATTAACCGATCGTTTGGCCTAAAAGTTTTTGTTTTTTTTATTACACAAAATCACCTCACAAGTCAAATGTTTAAGACTTAAAAGAATCAAAAAAAGTTAATTTTGAAGGTTGAACACTCAGTGACAATACTAGAGGAGTCCTCTTTTACGAAGTAGGTAATAGCAATCCGAATTATAGCTTGAGTAAGGGAAACAATTACCTTAATAAGTCTTATTAAACAACAGTAAACAGAAAAACAGGAAAGCCGCTTTAATAAGTGAAAGACAAATCTAGCAACACTTTTAAATGCCGAAATATTAGGAAATATTTCAAACCTAAGTAAGCCCTTAGAAAGCACATTTTTCAAAATGAACAAAATGACAGATAGAAAATGTTCTAAGCAAAACCATAATATAATATAATTGTTAGTACACTGACTATATAAACGAATCAAGATCCTTGATATATGAATGTGACGTGTTAGGTGGTTCCTTGTCACTTCGCTACACGTCTTGTGCTCGCCACTATGGCGGCATTCATCTACCATCATCTAGTTCATTAATTTAAAATATCAATCACCAAAAAACGAATAACTAGTCTTGAAGGTCACAGTTTGTGTTAAATGATAACAGTCAAAGATTGTGATTTGTTAGTTACTATATATACGAAGTGAATAATGCCAGGGTCGAATAATGACACCTAGGAAATCTCTAGTACTGAATACATGTAATATAATTATCAAATCGAATGAGAAGCACGCTTGCAGCTGGTTACGAGTCTTTGATCTTAAACAGTGATAACTATAACCATACACTGATAATAATATTGAAAGTTTCAAATTTATATTGGTTAATAACTGAAGCTAAGGAGGTGTTTAGGTTTAACAAATAAAGACCGGGTGAAGGAAAATCAAATTATGACAAACCTACGGAGATGTTGAATAATGACCGGTTAGATATTGATTATTATAAGGCAAGGAAGGTATCAAATAATGATAGCTAGGGCAATATTATTAGTCAAATATGGTATCGAATGCTGCCCCAACAAAGGTGTGGTATCGTTGAACGGAAATTGAGGAGATATCGAATAATGAGTTATAATTAAATTTAGAAGTTATCGAGTAATGACAGATAGGAATGTATCAAATGTTCATCTGGCAAGATATGGAATAATCACAAGGTGCGACAGGTATGAACTAATTACAGACAGGTATCGAATAATGACAGGAAGGAAAGTATCGATTACAGACCTTGCAGGTTTGCATCATATATAAACGAGGGGTTTAGGGGTTAAGGGTTAGTTGTCGGTTTGATGTGTTGGCCCTGTACGTCCATAATATATGTCATCACTCTTAAGCCCGATCCATGCCATGTGAAATTTCTGCAACACCAATGACTTTCAGGTTTATACGAACATTTCTAACCTTGCATCCAATCAACCTTGCAGGAAAGTTGAGGACTCTTGGGAGACGGACAAGAAGTAACCAAAATTTCCCAATTGGTCAAACCGATCAAAGTTGGAGCTGTTTGACCCAGCGCCTGTACAATAACTCCAAGAACATGAAAAAGGAGAAATACTAACATCTACAAACGGTGTAAAAGGTCATGCCAGTTAACTACCATCCATTTTACCATGCTATATCAACGGACTTATTTCCGATCGCAAAAATAGAGACTCACGACCTTTGAATTCAAATGTTTTTTTTCCTCTGGTGCTGAGAATTGTTTGACTGTTTTCTTGTAGTGTAAGGGAAAATTCCCCCCCCCCCCTCCCCTTTTCCAATTTCCAGGGATGGAATGTTGAACTCGGCCTGATTGCTCTTCACAGGAGACCTGCCCAAGATCACCAAGGTGAGGCAGAGGCTCTGTATAAGACCTAGCATTCTTATAACATGAGGTCTTGCACACCCATAGATTTGACAGTCGAATTTCTGACTGAATCTGACCTGAGAACTGTAAAGGTGGAGGAGGTGGTTGTGTAAAAAACATATAATAACAGTTACCGAAAGAAGGACAGTTCCGTTTTTTTTCTTTTCTCTGAATAGTCTCCTTCCAATCTTTCCACATTTTAATAACAATAATAATGGCTTCCTCCAATCTTTCGAGATCTTAATTATAACAATCAACGTCTTACACACCGAGATAATCAAAATAAAAATAAAAGTAGTTTCATCCACCAAGAATTGTTCTTGATATGAAAAATTCATTTCAAAATCAAATCACAGAGTGAATAAAACATGAATTATCCTCATGTTATAGGTGTTACTGTACTTGCTTTTTCTGAGTTTATGAAGAAGCTGGATTGGAGTATACACACTTGTCTTTGAGGGCATAGAGAGAGAGAGAGAGAGAGAGAGAGAGAGAGAGAGAGAGAGAGAGAGAGAGAGAGAGAGAAAGAAAGAAAGAGAGATAGAGAGAGAGAGGGAGATAGAGAGAGAGAATGATAGATGGATAGATAAATAAATAGATAGATAAATAGAGAGAGAGAGAAAGAGAAAGAGAGAGAGAGATAGAGAGAGAGAGAGAGAGAGAGAGAGAGAGAAAGAAAGAAAGAGAGAGAGTGAAAGAGAGAGAACGAAAGAAAAAAAGATGGAATAATTACCAAACCATTGTGTTGTCAAGATATCTAAGCTTCCTTTCATGTGCATTGAAATTGGTGCTTTTTTGTTATGACATCTGAAAGGTCCTACAGTATAATACTACATGCTATAGAAACGTTTATGCATTATCATCATTAAATAAACCCACATTATATGTAATTCAAGCAAAGACCATTTACCTGTATATTAAAACCTTGAACAGTGATTTGAATTGACTTCTTCAATAAACAATTATTTTAAACAGAGGTAAGAGAACAAACGTACAACCCGTTTCATATTCTTCTTTTTCTTCCACACACACACACATACACACATACACACATACACACATACACACATACACACACACACACACACACGCGCGCGCGCGCGCGCCCGCGAGCACACGACACATGCACACATATACGCACAGAGCACAGGTGTATATTCTCATTTAACTCCTTTATAAACTCAGAAAAAGCAAGCACAGTAACACATAATATGACATGCATATGATGCACGTTGTATTCATTCTGTGCATTTAATCTTGAAACTAACAAGTCATGATATGAACAATTAGTGATGAATAAAACTAGTTTTTTTTCTTATTATTATTCCCCTTTGAGTTTAAAACATTGACAATAACTATTATTAAGATCCTGAAAATCAGAGGGAGACAATTCAGAGAATAAAAAACGTGAGAGTAACTTTCCTTCTATCAGTAACCGTTCTTTGTTACACAATCATCTACTCCTCCTTTACTGTTCCCTTTGCAGTTTGCAGTCAGCCCCAAGCTTGAATACAGCTGTCATGTCGATGGGTCTGCAAGACCCCATGTTATAAGAATGCTAGATCTTACGCAGAATATAACCATAACCTTCGCCTCACCCAGGTGAAGAGCGTTCAGGGAGAGGCCAACATCGCATCCCTCGAAATTAGATGTGAAAAAACCCCCACCTTTCATTACATTACGCATTAGAACAAAGCTCAAAGCCGGAGAAGCCAGCCAATGACTGTGTTTTTCAGATTCGTTTGGGCTTTGACAATCTATACCCCCAAAAAAAGAATGACAATATTATAAAGCCTTTTCGATTTAGAGCCCTTGATGACATTAAAACCATACAATTTTCAGAAGTTAGAAAAAGATACACAGCTATTCTTTTTCACGACTTACTTCCGTTGTATACCTTACCAATGCAAAAATAAACTTATACCTGACCGCGGACAACAAAATTATGCAAAGACATA